ACACCCCATCTATAAATATATTAAACAACCATGGTGACATTACACATCCCTGTCTAAGACCTACTTTTACCGGGAAGTAGTGATATTAAGATATATTTTCCTTCTGTTATGTATATGTGAATTTATATATAATCATTTTTTAATATACAGTCCACAAATTTATATATTTACCAGTATTCCTGGTGTATGTATATTTCATTTAATTAATAGGTCCAGAGCAACTTGTGGTTATGACAGTGGTAGGTATCGAAGGGGGACATTTTTTGCGACCTAGGTGTCCCAAATTCCTACTTGTCTATGTAACATTGATAAATAATAATTATCTTTGTTATCATTTACTGTTATGTACATAATTAGTTACATTCAGATAAATGCAATTTTCCACACATCCAACCATGCTAAATATGAGTGAGTGGAAGAAAATGGATTATGGAATTAGCTGTGCTGTTGGAATGTGAGCATATCAATACCTAAAAAGGGAGTCAGGAAACTATTTAGTTGTAATTATAGAGGCATGAAGTACAATGCCTGCAATTTGAAAGTAGGGCGGGGATATCATGGTTGGTGGGTCATCCTTGGACCAGGTTGTTTATGCTATTTTTGAAGTCAGCTAGAGAATGAGTGATGGCGAATGTAATTTTTCTTTGAACTGCCTTAGTGGGAAGTGGATATGTTGAAAACATAAAACAATATTATGCCGCATCTTGGAAACAGAATGAGCGAAGGACTGCATTTATTTCACCAATAAAAAAAAAATTACCATCCTTCAGAGTATTAAAACCTGACAAAGTCACCTTTCAAAATATAGTCATTATTACTAAATGAGTAGTGTTGACTTTTTTGTTTATCCAATTTGATGATTTGTCAAGAAGGTTCTTAACTGAAGTGTACAGCTATTACAATGATGACTTTGTGTGGAAGTTCAAGATATTAATTATTTACTGATATTATAGAACTCCCAGCTTTCTGATCTCCTTAAATCCCTTCACAAAATGCTACCTTGCTCACTCTTTAACAGCTCATCAAGTCCCAAAAACCATTTGCCTGCACTCACTCCTACCTAACAAGCATCCTAACAGACAACCAGCAGGTGTGTGTTCAATCAAGAATGAGGGATATCAGGATATCAAAGAGGTACTTGCTTTTGGTGTGGCACCCATGTGTTCTGTTACAATTTTCTAAGAATTGCCTGAGTTCAGAATCAGCAATACAAGGCAGTGTTTTGAACAGTAGTATATATAAATTGCATTTATATTTGGTAGGCTTAGGAATTTGAATAATGACATAGTGTGTTGCCTATTGGTAAATTTATAATTATTTTGAAAGCTGCCTTTTTTTTTAAGTTATAATTTGTTTGAGATGAGTTGCCAAGGTAGATCCCCAGGTACAGATTCCACGTGTGAGGTATGGATAGATGAAGGAAAAGTATGTAGTTCCAGGAGTGTAGGTTGTAGAACATAACGAGTTTTGGAAAGTACGTATCCCCACTGTCTTAGAGACTTTGGTGATACACTTAAAATATTTTCTACTGCCTTTTCTTAGGCTATCAATATGTTCCAACTAGAAATGATTACACTGGCATAAGAGTGATAGATAAGTAGGTTGGTAATCCTAAGTAACTACAGCGATATGAAAATATACTGCTACATTTATTTAGTACAATCAAATTTCTCAAAAAATACAGCATTTTAATATGCAGAATAAAAAATAAAGAAGCAGATTACAGTTTGGTAAACACAATGCAATAGAAAGGTCTCCCACAAACCATTGCCTGCACAGCTTCTGGTGTTGGCATCTTCAGTGCCTCACGTAACTGCTTGTACCTCTGCTGTAGCTCCGTCCAGTGAGCTTGCTGGGGACAAAAAAAATAATAATAAAAGTTCCAATACCATTCCTGGAACAAGTCACTACTACAAGTAATCTATAAATTGGAGATGGGAACTGGAGGATGATTTGGTGCATCCTGGACCAGTATCAAGTCATGAGTGAACAAAATCTGCAACATGATAATGCTTCACAATGAACTGAAATGTCATCCAGCATTTATTTCCATTCTGTAAACTGCTGTGAAAATTAACCTTCATTTATCAAAATCTAAGGTTATCATACTCCAAAGTATACACAATCATGCATGAAACAAGAAGACTGTTTCCAAGTACATAATATATACATGTACAGTGGACCCCCGCATAACGATTACCTCCGAATGCGACCAATTATGTAAGTGTATTTATGTAAGTGCGTTTGTACTTGTATGTTTGGGGGTCTGAAATGGACTGGAAGTAATGGTGAAGCTGGAGGTGCTGTCCTGGGAGACAGTAATGGTGAAGCTGGAGGTGCTGTCCTGGGAGACAGAAATGGTGAAGCTGGAGATACTGTCCTGGGAGACAGAAATGGTGAAGCTGGAGGTGCTGTCCTGGGAGACAGAAATGGTGAAGCTGGAGATACTGTCCTGGGAGACAGTAATGGTGAAGCTGGAGGTGCTGTCCTGGGAGACAGAAATGGTGAAGCTGGAGATACTGTCCTGGGAGACAGAAATGGTGAAGCTGGAGATATTGTCCAGGGAGTCGGGAATTATACGCAGGAAGGAATACATATAAATGACCTCATAGGGACAGGAGCCATAGTAGGGAAACAAGTGTATCAAAGATAAGATAAAACCAATATTGCAAACTAGAAATACCGCGGGAAATAGCAAACAAAGACTCCAATAGCAATAGTGAGGAAAAAATTACCAAAAACAACTGGTGGGAGCTCCATTGTTGGTGCTAGGGAGGATAAAAATAAGACAGGGAAACATGCACCAACGGGGAATACAGTCACAAAAACCCCAAAGGGCAAGGGGAAACCAAGACTGTGCACATACTATGGCATTTGGGTATCTGCGGGCATGGAAATCTGGAAAAACAATGGGACATGCAACTATGACCACCCTAGAAAATGCCATGCCCATATGAAAACAGGAAAATGCAAACCCCTTCCTGTAAGCTTTTCACCCGAAATGTGTACCTCTTCAGTACGGGAAAGACTGTGCTAAAACTAAATTGCCAGGCATACCATCTAAAGGGGACAAAAAGATACAAAACATCCAGGCCGGGGGAAAAACCCTGGGTAGCCACAGCCACTCAAGAGGGAGAGGTTTTTTAGTCCCAGGAAGGAAAAAAAACTGGCAGGAAATGGCAGAAATCGTACACCCCAAAACCATCATCCCGGAGTGGAACCACAGTCGATGGCCTCCACTCCAAACCAACAGATACAGATACTAAAGCCCAAAAAAAAATCCCCCCCCAGTACCAACAATACCACCAGTCCGATAACATTCTTCTTTGCAAATATACAGGGTCTAAAGCCAGCTACAAACAACAAAAAAACCTTCATCCGTGGACTGCTTGCAGAGGCAAAGGCAATGTTCGCGGCTTTCACTGAGACCCACATAAAGGATCACTTGGACAACGAAGTAATGGATCCCAGGTTACAACCTATACAGATGTGACAGAGTGAACAGGCAAAAGGGGGGGGTTGGCCTGTACATTGCAGAGTCACTTGTTTGCACAGAACTGCTTAAAAGCCTCAAATGACGTAGTGAAGTTTAGCAGTAAAGGTCGAGAACCAAAACCTAGTCATTGTGGTAGTCTACAAGCCTCCGGATGCAACATCCCCAGCAATTCCAGGAACAGCTGTTAAAAATTGACCACTGTCTGGAAAATCTTCCAGCTCCTGCACCCCAAAATCTGCTCCTGGGGGATTCAATTTAAGGCACCTAAAAGGGAGGAATATAGCAAATAATATTGTTGCAGAAAAAACCCCGGGAGGCAGTTGATGAAAACTCACACCCACGAGTTTTTAAATCTCTGCAAAAAATTAAATTTTAAACCAGAAATAAAAGAGCCTAAAAGACTGAGAATCACTAAAAACCTCTTTTACTAACAATGATGTCTGATAAGAAATGCACCATTAAAAAACAATATCCCAAATCCAAATAATTGGGGTTCAACTGTATGCAGGGACCCCAACCGACAAAATGAACTATCAAGAGGGAGCATTCACCAAATTCAACTTCAATAACAAAAACATAAAGGGGGCCCCAAGAAACCCCAAGTCCTAACCATATAATGGGAAGATATACTAAGAAACACAACCCAAACTTATGCCTAGAACAGATTAATCGTGGCACTCGATGTTGCACAAGGCTTTTTCCCCTCAAGAAAAAGGAGGATAGATTAAAATGAAAGAGACGGCGCCCCCTTTACGGCGACGGAAAAAAAAATAACAGGGGGGTTTAAAGAGGTAAATATATTGAAATGCGCAGGAGACCTGGTCAAGAAATAGCAAGCATCGAATTTAAAGCTAAAAGAATCCTTTAGAGTCAGGAATCGGGGAAGAACTAAAAGCCATAAATGAAACGAAAGAAACCCCCAAAATTTTTTTCCTATGCCAAATCAAAACGAGAAAGCCATATTGGGCCCTACTTTAAAAAAGAGGGTCCTACACAGATGACAGAAGGGAAAAAGTGAGCTACTAAGTCCCAATATATCAGTTTTTTTGCAAGCCGCTAACCAACTGGGTCGAAGACCCAAAATGATTTTTTAGAGAGAGCCACAAAAATTTTACAAAAAAAGCCTATCCCATGTTATCCTGACGCCAATGACTTCGAAAAGGCGATAAATGACTGCCCATGCACTCTGCCCCCCGGGGCCCGATCGGAACTCTTGTTCATCAAAACTGCAAAAAGCCCCCATACGGCCTTTTCCCCTCCTATGGAGAGGGGGCAGGGCACGGGGGCTCCCTCAGTTACTAAAAAAACAGACATGCCCCACTCCCCAAAGGGGGGAGTAAAGCAACAGCAAAGAAAATACAGACCCTAGCACAACATCCCATATCTAAAAATCTTTGAAAGGGTCCAAGAACAAGTCACCCCCATCTAGAAACCCCTCATTACAAACCCCGGGCAACATGGGGTTTAGAAAAGGTCGCTCCCGTCGTCTCAATACGGATCCTACGACAAGGGGCCTAATGCACTAGAAGACAAAAAGAATGCAGATGAAATTATACAGATTTGCAAACCTTGACAATGTGACCATGGCGTAATAGGCACAAAATGCGCGCAAAAAATAACGGGAAAAGTCGGTCGATGGATCTAAAATTCCTCACAACAAAACACAGAGAGTAGTCGTCAACAAGTAAAGTCCGGGGGCAGCTACGGTGAAAAGCCTGTCCCACAAGGCACAGTACTAGCCCCCATCTTTTTCCTCATCCTCATATCCGACATAGAAAAGGATTCACCACAGCCCCGGTTTTCCCTTTTGCAGATAACCCGAATCTGCATGCAGGTCTTCCATTGCAGACCTGAAGGCCCGGGCGGAATCAACCAAATCTTTCAGGGGGGCCTTCAGAAAACAAAGAAGTTAACATGAGAAATTTCAATTACCAATATGGTAAACATGGGGAAATTAAATTTTTCATCGAGTACAAAACAAATTCTGGCCACAAAATAAGCGAAACACCAACGTCAAAGACCTAGGAGTGATTATGTCGGGGGATCTCACCTTAAAGGGCCCAATTTTGTATCAATCGATCTGTAAAAAAATGACAGGATGGATAATGAGAACCTTCAAAACTAGGGAGGCCAAGCCCATGATGACACTCTTCAGGTCACTTGTTCTATCTAGGCTGGAATATTGCTGCACTCTAACAGCACCTTTCAAGGCAGGTGAAATTGCCGACCTAGAAAATGTACAGAGAACTTTCACGGCGCGCATAACGGAGATAAAACACCTCAATTACTGGGAGCGCTTGAGGTTTCTAAACCTGTATTCCCTGGAACGCAGGAGGGAGAGATACATGATTATATACACCTGGAAAATCCTAGAGGGACTAGTACCAAACTTGCACACGAAAATCACTCACTACGAAAGCAAAAGACTTGGCAGACGATGCACCATCCCCCCAATGAAAAGCAGGGGTGTCACTAGCACGTTAAGAGACCATACAATAAGTGTCAGGGGCCCGAGACTGTTCAACTGCCTCCCAGCACACATAAGGGGGATTACCAACAGACCCCTGGCAGTCTTCAAGCTGGCACTGGACAAGCACCTAAAGACAGTTCCTGATCAGCCGGGCTGTGGCTCGTACGTTGGTTTGCGTGCAGCCAGCAGCAACAGCCTGGTTGATCAGGCGCTGATCCACCAGGAGGCCTGGTCACAGACCGGGCCGCGGGGGCGTTGACCCCCGAAACTCTCTCCAGGTAAACTCCAGGTAAACTTCACAATATTCCTTATGGGAATAAATTCGGTCAGTACTGGCACCTGAACATACTTTTTTTTTTTTTTTTATTATCACACCGGCCGATTCCCACCAAGGCAGGGTGGCCCGAAAAAGAAAAACTTTCACCATCATTCACTCCATCACTGTCTTGCCAGAAGGGTCCTTTACACTACAGTTTTTAAACTGCAACATTAACACCCCTCCTTCAGAGTGCAGGCACTGTACTTCCCATCTCCAGGACTCAAGTCCGGCCTGCCGGTTTCCCTGAATCCCTTCATAAATGTTACTTTGCTCACACTCCAACAGCACGTCAAGTATTAAAAACCATTTGTCTCCATTCACTCCTATCAAACACGCTCACGCATGCCTGCTGGAAGTCCAAGCCCCTCGCACACAAAACCTCCTTTACCCCCTCCCTCCAACCCTCCTAGGCCGACCCCTACCACCGCCTTCCTTCCACTACAGACTGATACACTCTTGAAGTCATTCTGTTTCGCTCCATTCTCTCTACATGTCCGAACCACCTCAACAACCCTTCCTCAGCCCTCTGGACAACAGTTTTGGAAATCCCGCACCTCCCTCCAACTTCCAAAAACTACGAATTCTCTGCATTAATTTTCACACCACACATTGCCCTCAGACATGACATCTCCACTGCCTCCACCCTTTTCCTCCTCGCTGCAACATTCATCACCCACGCTTCACACCCATATAAGAGCGTTGGTAAAACTATACTCTCATACATTCCCCTCTTGCCTCCAAGGACAAAGTTCTTTGTCTCCACAGACTCCTAAGTGCACCACTCACTCTTTTCCCTTTCATCAATTCTATGATTCACCTCATCTTTCATAGACCCATCCGCTGACACGTCCATTTCCCAAATATCTGAATACGTTCACCTCCTCCATACTCTCTCCCTCCAATCGATATTCAATCTTTCATCACCTAATCTTTTTGTTATCCTCATAACCTTACTCTTTCCTGTATTCACCTTTAATTTCTTCTTTTGCACACCCTACCAAATTCATCCACCAATCTCTGCAACTTCTCTTCAAATCTCCCAAGAGCACAGTGTCATCAGAAAAGAGCAGCTGTGACAACTCCCACTTGTGTGTGATTCTTTATCTTTTAAACTCCCCCGCCTCTTGCCAAGACCCTCGCATTTACTTCTCTTAAAACCCCATCTATAAATAATATTAAACAACCACGGTGACTCACAACATCCTTGTCTAAGGCCTACTTTTACGGGGAAAAAAATTTCCCTCTTTCCTACTACCTAACTTGACCTCACTATCCCGTAAAAACTCTTCACTGCTTTCAGTAACCTACCTCCTACACCATACACTTGCAACATCTGCCACATTGCCCCCCTATCCACCCTGCCCAATACGCCTTTTTCCAAATCCATAAATGCACAAAGACCTCTTTAGCCTTATCTAAATACTGTTCACTTATATGTTTCACTGTAAACACCTGGTCCACACACCCCCTACCTTTCCTAAAGCCTCCTTGTTCATCTGCTATCCTATTCTCCGTCTTACTCTTAATTCTTTCAATTATAACTCTACCATACACTTTACCAGGTACACTCAACAGACTTATCCCCCTATAATTTTTGCACTCTCTTTTATCCCCTTTGCCTTTATACAAAGGAACTATGCATGCTCTCTGCCAATCCCTAGGTACCTTACCCTCTTCCATACATTTATTAAATAATTGCACCAACCACTCCAAAACTATATCCCCACCTGCTTTTAACATTTCTATCTTTATCCCATCAATCCCGGCTGCCTTACCCCCTTTCATTTTACCTACTGCCTCACGAACTTCCCCCACACTCACAACTGGCTCTTCCTCACTCCTACAAGATGTTATTCCTCCTTGCCCTATACACGAAATCACAGCTTCCCTATCTTCATCAACATTTAACAATTCCTCAAAATATTCCTTCCATCTTCCCAATACCTCTAACTCTCCATTTAATAACTCTCCTCTCCTATTTTTAACTGACAAATCCATTTGTTCTCTAGGCTTTCTTAACTTGTTAATCTCACTCCAAAACTTTTTCTTATTTTCAACAAAATTTGTTGATAACATCTCACCCACTCTCTCATTTGCTCTCTTTTACATTGCTTCACCACTCTCTTAACTTCTCTCTTTTTCTCCATATACTCTTCCCTCCTTGCATCACTTCTACTTTGTAAAAACTTCTCATATGCTAACTTTTTCTCCCTTACTACTCTCTTTACATCATCATTTCCACAAATCGCTCCTCTTCCCTCCTGCACCCACTTTCCTGTAACCACAAACTTCTGCTGAACACTATAACACTACATTTTTAAACCTACCCCATACCTCTTCGACCCCATTGCCTATGCTCTCATTAGCCCATCTATCCTCCAATAGCTGTTTATATCTTACCCTAACTGCCTCCTCTTTTAGTTTATAAACCTCACCTCTCTCTTCCCTGATGCTTCTATTCTCCTTGTATCCCATCTACCTTTTACTCTCAGTGTAGCTACAACTAGAAAGTGATCTGATATATCTGTGGCCCCTATAAACATGTACATCCTGAAGTCTACTCAACAGTCTTTTATCTACCAATACAAAATCCAACAAACTACTGTCATTTCGCCCTACATCATATCGTGTATACTTATTTATCCTCTTTTTCTTAAAATATGTATTACCTATAACTAAACCCCTTTCTATACAAAGTTCAATCAAAGGGCTCCCATTATCATTTACACCTGGCACCCCAAACTTACCTACCACACCCTCTCTAAAAGTTTCTCCTACTTTAGCATTCAAGTCCCCTACCACAATTACTCTCTCACTTGGTTCAAAGGCTCCTATACATTCACTTAACATCTCCCAAAATCTCTCTCTCTCCTCTGCATTCCTCTCTTCTCCAGGTGCATACACGCTTATTATGACCCACTTCTCGCATCCAACCTTTACTTTAATCCACATAATTCTTGAATTTACACATTCATATTCTCTTTTCTCCTTCCATAACTGATCATTTAACATTACTGCTACCCCTTCCTTTGCTCTAACTCTCTCAGATACTCCAGATTTAATCCCATTTATTTCCCCCCACTGAAACTCTCCTACCCCTTCAGCTTTGTTTCGCTAGGGCCAGGACATCCAACATCTTTTCATTCATAACATCAGCAATCATCTGTTTCTTGTCATCCGCACTACATCCACGCACATTTAAGCAACCCAGTTTTATAAAGTTTTTCTTCTTCTCTTTTTTTTTTAATTGTATACAGGAGAAGGGGTTACTAGCCCATTGCTCCCGGCATTTTAGTCGCCTCATACGACACGCATGGCTTACGGAGGAAAGATTCTTTTCCACTTCCCCATGGACACTAGAAGAAATAAAAAAGAACAAGAGCTATTTAGAAAAAGGAGAAAAACCTAGATGTATGTATATATATATATGCATGTGCGTGTCTGTGAAGTGTGACCAAAGTGTAAGTAGGAGTAGCAAGATATCCCTGTTATCTTAGCGTGTTTATGAGACAGAAAAAGAAACCAGCAATCCTACCATCATGCAAAACAGTTACAGGTTTTTGTTTCACAGTCATCTGGCAGGACGGTAGTACTTCCCTGGGTGGTTGCTGTCTACCAACCTACTACCATCCCTGAACATACTTATGGAATGAAAAAATATCGTTAACCGGGGGTCCACTGTATATGGAAAATACTTACATAGTTATTTGAGGTATTTGTCTTCAGGGCTTCATATGCTTTTATTCTGAGTTCTTCAGGTGAACAATCAGAAAAACCCAATAGAGGAGGGTGAGATTTCAAAGGAGCAAAGCAGGACACAAGCCACTGGCCACTACGCTCCCATTGGGTCATCTCTCCACTCACTTGTTTGCTGGAAAGTGAGGCCTCAGAACATCACACACAAACTAGTAATAAAAATACTCATTTAAAGGGCTTAATCCAAAAAAGTCATTCAGCACTGCATGGCAGAAGAGAAAGCACATAGAAAAAAATTGGCAAGAAGAGGGCAGGACATGATAAAAACAAGAATATAGAAATTAAAGGATGATGTAAGAAAATTGTCTCTTAACTGAAAAGTAGAGACAACATCGATGTTTTGTGTGGTATGTACTTGTGGAAGGAAATGCCAAAGAAGTGAACATAGCAGGGTATGAAAAGAGACATTAAAATAAAGAGGCCGCTTTCTAAGATACAGTGGCACCTCGGGTTTCGAACAGCTCCCAACTCGAACAATTATGTGTATTATTGTAAGTGCTTTTGTAAGTGTATTTTTGGGGGTCTGAAGCAGACTAATCTAATTTACATCATTCCTTATGGGAACAAATTCGTTTGGTAACAGCACTCGAACAGCCTTCTGGAATGAATTGAGTTCGTATCCCGAGGTACCACTGTACTGTATACAGTGGTACCTCGGGATACAAACTTAATTCATTCCAGAAGGCTGCTTGAGTCCCGATACCGAATGAATTTGTCCCCATAAGGAATAATGTAAATTAAATTAATCTGTTTCAAACCCCCAAAAATACACTTACCAAAGCACTTACATAAATACACTTACATAATTATTCAAGTTTTGAGCTGTTCATATCCCAAGGTACCACTGTATATAGAACAATCTACAGCACATGTATTATGTATTACTAACAGGTACAGTATTTACTACTTTTTTTTTAACACGTCAGCCGTTTCCCACCGAGGCAAGGTATTACTACTTATTATATTCAAATATTAATGAGTATTGCTTTCATGTACTGCTATGTATTACTACACTTACACAAAATCTTGAAAATCCTTGGAATCTTTTAAAGGTGTGGCCTTGGCACCAAACACATTGCCTCCAGCACCTGTGGTGCCTACTCCAAAGGTATTTACCATACCTGTTCCCCCTGTAAAAGTAAAGATCCAATAAAACACTGCTCATTATGTACATGTATGGTATACAATACTGACAAGATGAAAATTAGATACATGCAACATCTGGGTATCTTTATGTCCTTGAATTTGTACTGATAAAGTCACTGGATGGCAAAGCGTCTACAAAAAAGATACCTAGATGTCACACATGTGTCTAATTTTCACACTGTTAATTATACTGTCTAAAAAACAATAAGGTTTAGTTAGAACTGAAAACTTCAAAAAACTATAGAACTACTAGACAAGTTTTTAGAACAAACTAAAACATGTAAAAATTGCAAATGCATAGCAGTACAGTATAATAAATACCATATTATTTTACCTTGATTTGGTGGATGTATATTCCAACATCTTGTGCCATATTTACATGTACCCTTCAGGAAATAACTGCACACCACTTTATTATTACCAACAGCAGGGCGCTGGCCAAACATTGTGCTGGTACGCTTCTTGTATATCACCAAACACTATCTGAAAGTACAATTAACACAAAGTTTCATCATGATTTTAAGACTGCACTGACAATCTTCCTCTTATGATTTACAATATCTGATATGTAAAGAGAAATAAAGTAATGCTAATTGAAAGGCAACCAAGTGTTCCGTCAATAAAAATATATGTACCATATTTTCTGGCACGTAAGGAGTGCTTTTTTTCCCTAGAAAAGTCTTAGAAAATCACCCTGCACCTTATATGCTCAAGGTAAAGGTCAAGGGTAGGCTTTCAGTTACTGGCAAGTGATGTTTTATAAATGGATATGAAGTTCATTACAGTAATAAAGTTGAAATACTCATAATGCTCATGAGCCTTACATGCCAGAAAATACAATATATAATTTTTAACTAATTGTATTTATATTCATGAAGTTTAACTAGATAAGCTAATTAATTTATGTACCAAATGGTATATGTACATTATTAACATAAAGAAATGCAGTATCGCTAAATCTGTACAAATTTTATTTCAAATCACTTGTTCTTTCTAGGCCCCAGTCAAACAGATGAAATGGCAGACTTGAAGAATGTACAGGGAGCCTTCATTGCTTGCATAAACTCATGGTGGCCCATGGCCTGGTGGCAAAAGCTCTTGCTTCACACGGTGAGGGGTCCAGGTTCAATTCCCAGCAAAGGGTGGAAACATTGGGCATTTTTTCTTACACCAGTTGCCTACGTCCACCCATCAGTAAAAATGGGTACCTGGGTGTTAGTCGACTGGTGTGGGTCGCATCCTTGGACAAAAGTGACCTAATATGCCCGAAATGCTCTGCATAACATACGGCTTTCTATATAGTGGTATGTCATTGATGTCAACTCGGCCTGCACACCTTGTACATGTACTTGTAGAAATAAAGATATTATTATTATTATAAGCACCATACCACTTACAACTAATAGAGGTATGTCATAGCTGCTAAGTGAATAAAAAGATACATAGCAAACATAGATCTGTATTAACATGATGCTTTAGTCATCATAAATATTTTTCTCGGGATAAATTCTATTAATGTCTATATTATAAATAACCATGATATCATTTATTAATACGTAAATTCTATTTTATTAAGTAGTTTGTGCAATGGAATAATTTTAAATAAAGGGAAGAAGCTTTATTTTGATAAGTAAGCTTAATAACATACTCCAAGTTACCCCTACCAAACTTAACCTTACCTAGCCCAGCTAGGTTAGGTCGAGTACCAACAAGCTAAGATAAGATTCTGCTCAGATTTTTAACCCCGGAGGTTAGCCACCAGGATAACCCAACAGGTGTAAGAAAACACCCCCGGTGTTTCCACCCTTGCCGGGAATTGAACTATGGACACTCGGTGATTGAAGTGAGAGTGTTGCCTATCAGGCCAGGGGACATGAGTTACCTGGAGTATACCTGGAGAGTGTCTCAAGAGTCAATGCCCCTGCGGACCAGTCCATAACCAGGTTAGGTTATAGTGTATTAAAAAAAAAAAGGTCTTTTTTCAAGGGTGTACTAAATATAATGTATGTACGTATCTCCATCGTACAACACACTTAATACTAGAGCATTTACATAAACCCACCCAGGAGTTTAGTACATATTGACTAGACATTTCACCTACACGAGGTTTTATCAGGTACAGTACATGTTGTACCCTTCAAGGTATATACGAACAAGACAAAATTTTATTTCTTTGTATAGTATACAAAATGTAGTTTACATGTAATAAAATATTGTATTAATGTTTGTAGAATTACTGACAATATGTTAGGTAAAAGGGCACAAGTGCAACTAATGTGACATTTTATTGTGACAACGTTTCGCTCTCCAGGAGCTTTGGAGAGTGAAACATTGTGGTAATAAAATGTCACATTAGTTGCACTGGTGTCCTTTTACCTAATAAAATACTGATAAGCAAAAGAAGGCCACTAGCATGCATGTACATTTCAGGCAGACTAACCCTATTACTTACACACTATTTAAGATTAGACATAGGTTACTGAGTGGTAGATTTTAAATATGTATTATTACAAAAGTGGTAGCAAAAATATTACAGTTAGTACAATTTACAATATAGAGGTAGCAAAATAGTACACTTAGCACAATTTACAAAAGTACAATTTTAAGTGTGTATTAATACTTTAAAACTGATTTAGTGATCTTAAGTTAATTGGGCTTTATTAAGTCATTTCAAACTGACTATGATTTCAAGCTATGGGAAGATTATGATAAATGGTGAAGAAACAGGAATTAGTTGTATGAGTTGGTTATGTTTAGTATACCTGGAGAGGGTTTCAGGGATCAGTGCCCCCACAGTCCGGTCTGTGACCAGGCCTCGTGGCGGATCAGAGCCTGATCAACCAGGCTGTTACTGCTGGCCACACATTATTATTATTATAAAGGGGGAGTGCTAAACCCATAAGATTATGCAGCACCTGTGGGGGGGGGATGTGGAAGGTATTCAGGCTTTATTCAGGGAACCGGAGCACAGATCCAATTCCCTAGCTCAAGATCCCCTCACCAACGTCAAGGAACCTTCCTTGAGAGGTGGCCACTTAAACCAATGTATGAACCACAGCCCAGCTGGTCAGGTACTGACTTTAGGTGCCTGTCCAGCCCCTTCTTGAAGACAGCCAGGGGTCTATTGGTAATCCCCCTTATGTATGCTGGGAGGCAGTTGAACAGTCTTGGGCCTCTAATACTTAGTGTGTTATCTCTTAGTGTACTTGTGGCGCCCCTGCAAAGTGTTGGTGTAGTCAAGTTTGAGAGATGAAATGACTTTTAATTATAGCTCTAAACTGACTGACAGACAGGGTAAGTTTGTGGCCTGGTGGCTAAAGCTCCCGCTTCACACACGGAGGGCCCGGGTTCGATTCCCGGCGGGTGGAAACATTTCGACACGTTTCCTTACACCTGTTGTCCTGTTCACCTAGCAGCAAATAGGTACCTGGGTGTTAGTCGACTGGTGTGGGTCGCATCCTGGGGGACAAGATTAAGGACCCCAATGGAAATAAGTTAGACAGTCCTCGATGACGCACTGACTTTCTTGGGTTATCCTGGGTGGCTAACCCTCCGGGGTTAAAAATCCGAACAAAATCTTATCTTATCTTATCTTATCTTATAGGTACACAGAAATAGTTACATAAATTATCATACATAGCAGCATATGTATAGATTACCTAGGATAACCCACGGGTTGTAGTAATGTTGTGTAATAATAATACAACCCAAATGGAAGTAAGTCACTTTGACATTTTCTGGGGGTTATCCTAGGTAATATACGCTATATATAACTGCACTTACATATACCAGTACCTAAATAAACTTGGTAACAACCTTGTGTTGTTGTGGTTAAGGTCTACCAAACTGTACGCCTTATCGAGTTTCTTCCTGGGAGTCGGGAAATAAATTTTCTCTAAATATGGACGGAAATTAGAGAGGAAATAAAGTTTCTTATGGGATAAGTTTATTCAGGGTTAGGTACACATAAGTACAGTTACATAAATTATCATAAATAACAGAATATGGGTAGATTACCTAGGATAACTCCCCAAAAAAGTCAGTGACTTATTTTCTTTGGGGTCGTTGTAATAACTTATTATTTAAACTTTAAAAGTTAAAACAGGTAAGTAACTTAGCTATGTGAAAAGCAGTTACAATAAAAGGAGATATACTAGGTAGATCATAGTAATAGGTACATGTGCAGGCAATCCGTTCCACTCTGTTGTTATACAATAAATTGTATTTAAAGCCTGACCACCTAGGGAAACAGAAACGTGATTTTTTTTTAATTTATATTACGTGGCCCCAGACCTGAATACTGGTGAAGTCTGGTACGTCTATACTTCCTATTGGGTTAGTAATAATAATAATAATCTTTATTCCTACAAATACATGATACAGCTTATACAGACCATACCTGGAGTTTACCTGGAGAGAGTTCCGGGGGTCAACGCCCCCGCGGCCCGGTCTGTGACCAGGCCTCCTGGTGGATCAGAGCCTGATCAACCAGGCTGTTGCTGCTGGCTGCACGCAAACCAACGTACGAGCCACAGCCCGGCTGGTCAGGAACCGACTTTAGGTGCTTGTCCAGTGCCAGCTTGAAGACTGCCAGGGGTCTGTTGGTAATCCCCCTTATGTATGCTGGGAGGCAGTTGAACAGTCTCGGGCCCCTGACACTTATTGTATGGTCTCTTAACGTGCTAGTGACACCCCTGCTTTTCATTGGGGGGATGTTGCATCGTCTGCCAAGTCTTTTGCTTTCGTAGGGTGTGATTTTCGTGTGCAAGTTCGGTACTAGTCCCTCTAGGATTTTCCAGGTGTATATAATCATTGTATCTCTCCCGCCTGCATTCCAGGGAATACAGTTTTAGGAACCTCAAGCGCCTCCCAGTATTGAGGTGTTTTATCTCCGTTATGCACGCCGTGAAGGTTCTCTAATTTTCTAAGTCAGCCAATTTCCCTGCCTTGAAAGGTGCTGTTAGTGTGCAGGCAAATATTCCAGCCTATATAGAACAAGTGGACCTGAAGAGTGTATCATGGGCTTGGCCTCCCTAGTTTTGAAGGTTCTCATTATCCATCGTCATTTTTTCTAGCAGATGCGATTGCATACAATGTTATGGTGTTGAAGGTGAGATCCTCCGACATGAATCACTCCCCAGGTCTTTGACGTTGGGTTTCGCCTCATTTTGTGGCCAGAATTTGTTTTGTACTCTAATGAAGATTTAATTTCCTCGTGTTTCCGTCTCTGAGTAATTCCATATTTCTCATCGCTTGAATTTCATATTGATTTTCTGCTGCACTGAAAGATTCGGTTGATGTTCCGCCTGGAGGCTTAGCAGTGTCTGCAATGGAAGACACTGTCATGCAGATTGGGTGTCTTCTGCAAAGGACAGGACACGGTGCTGTGGCTGACATCCTTGTCTATTTTCGGATTATGAGGATGAGGAACAGATGGGAGCGAGTACTGTGCCTTGTGGAACAGAAGCTTTTCACCGTAGCTGCCTCGGGACTTTTACTCTGTATGACGAACTACTCTCTGTGTTCTGTTAGGAGGCAATTTATAGATCCATCGACCGACTTTTCCTGGTATTCCTTTAGCAGAATTTTGTGCGCTATTACGCCAGGTCTCACTTGTCAAAGGCTTTTGCAAGTCTGTATATATTACTTCTGCTTTCTTTTTATCTTTAGTGCATTTAGGTCCGTGTTAGTAGCCATTGTTGAACACAGAACAGGCGCGACCTGTTCCTAAACCCATGTTTCCCTGGGTTGTTACTGACGTTTTTTAGATGGGTGGTGATCTTGCTTCTTAGGACCCTTTTCAAAGTTTTTATATGATATGGTGATGTTATAGCTATCGGTCTGTAGTTATTTCTGTTGCTTACTGCCCCCTTGGTGGAGTGGGGCTATGTCTGTTGTTTTTAGTAATGTGGACGATCCCCGTGTCCATGCTCCCTCTCCATAGGTGGAAAAAGGCTCGTGGATAGGGGCTTCTTGCAGTTCTTGATGAAACACGGAGTCCATGAGTCTGGCTGGGGCAGAGTGCCTGGGCCATGTCATTTATGCATGTTCGAAGTCTTTTGGCGTCAGGATAACATCGGATAGGCTTGTGTTAATCAATTTTCGTGGGTCTTCATTAAAAATTCATTTTGATCTTCGGACTCTCACCGTTGGTGTTAGCGGCTCTCTCTTGCTAAAAACTGAGTCATATTGGGAATTGAGTATTAGCTCACTCATTTCCTAGCTATCTTCTGGGTAGGTCCCATGATTGGTTTAAAGTAGGGCCCAATACTGGATGTTGTTCTCGACTTTGATTTGGCAATAGGAGAAAGAATACTTGGGTTTCTTTCGGATTCATTTATGGCTTTT